CTTGATGGTCTCTTCCGGCCGGCGCAGACCGATTCACCGCGCGGCTCTTCCGTCCCGCGCCGGGCTGCCCGCTCCCTGCCCGAAGCGCGTCGTGCTTCCTGCTCCATCCGGCCTCCCCGGGCCCCTTGGCTCCATCCGAGCCCGTTCCCCTCGCTGGGGCGTTCGACTCCCGTCTCCTGCTTTGGGAACATCGGCACCGTGGCACGAGGATGCCCAGCAGCGGAGGTGTCCCCCCTGCAAACATCCTTTCCCCACTAAATCCGCTGCTGCCGAAGGTGTTTCTGTCTCCCTGGGAGCGCTCCGCTGCGGTTTTCTCCCATTTCAGCTGGAGGGGAACGATCTCTCTACAGCCCGGGAGGGCTTTTGGGATCCGCCAGCCTAAAAAGCGAAGCAGAAACACAACGCGCTGTCTGACCGAGCGGCTGGGCACGCTGCGGGAACCCGCTCCTTGCTCTGGCAAAAGGCCGCGAGTGTTTCTGCGCCCCTGGGCCGAGCTGTTGGCTGGGAAACTTGGAGCGGCAACTTCAAGCGTGGGCAAAGCTCTGGCCTCGTCTCGAAGCGAGGAACGTAATCAGGTCAAGGTTTGTCGCGGTGGGGAAAAAAAAAAAAAAAGCCGGTTCCGTTCGTGGAGCCCCGCTGGGTTTCCGGAGCGCTGTCTGCCTGACGATGCAGCCTTGCAGGTGCTGGTGGCCGAGCGCTGGAGCTTCTCTCCTGGTCCACGCCTGGGTGAAGCTCGCAGGACATCTCGCCTCGCCTGGGTTACGAGATCCACCACGATTTCGCAGCCCTCCCGTGCCCAAGCGCTGGGGGAGGTTCCCGCTCGCATCTCCTTCATCTCGAGCTCTTGTAGCCCCCGCGCCGGGCTGAATCGCTGGAGGCCGTCGACAGAAACGCGTCCGAGAAATCAAACTCAACCCGGGGTTCCCGCGCTGGGATTTGGACCTGTCTGCAGCAAGCGGCCCAGAGCTACGTTAGACCACGAAACTCCAAACTCAAGCCGATGGCGAGAGCTTCGCCCTGGCCCGCCGGCGACGCAGTCGCTCGCGTTTTGAAGGTGCCGCTTCTGAGCGAGTCCCACTTTTGACTTTCGAGTCTCTCCCCCCGGAATAAGGGGGAAGAGAAAATTGGCCCGCACGTGCGCGGGGCGGGCTGCAGAGGGTAATTAGCGATCGTTTTGCGAAGCCCTCGGCGCTGTAGCGACGAGCGCGGCGGAAAAGCTGGCGAGGAAATGAATAATCCCGTCTTCCCAGCAGGGTGGGAAACAGCGTGCGGTAAATAAGGCGAGAAGCGGGGAGGACGAGAGGATTCCCGGGTTGCCGCTCGCTGTTTCAGCTCTCTCCGGAGGTGATCCGCAGCCGAGGAGGATTCGCACGCCGGCACTGAGGGATGGAGGCAGTCTGGTCGGGAAAGGAGAGGGGACCGGATTTTGGGGGGACGGAGGTAGAGCGACGGCCGGCTGAGGCGCCAAATCCTCCGGCGTCCGCTCGTCCTCGCCGGAGGGAGAAGCGCCCGAGCGGGGCCTTCCCGTGCCGCGCGGCCCCCCTCTCCCGTTTCCAACC